GGGAGGCCTGGGCTCAAAGGAAGCAAAGCAAAGAAGGGTCCGGCTGTGGGAAGGCAGCGGGTCTGTCTTGAGGGAAAGAGGGACAGACAGAGGGAGGGACAGACCAAAGAGGGAAGGTGTCACGTTTCAGTGACGCCCCCCACCTGGGATTATCCAGCACAACCCACAGCAGCGAAATCTTGGAAGCAGCCTCACAGACGAGTCAATAAATAAAAGCAGTTTGCAGGCTGTGGAGTATTAGGCAGCCACAAAAAAGGATGTCTCATCACGTGTCTCTCAGTCCTGTGTTCTCGCCTGGGTGAGGTCCCTGCATGCGACCACGGCACAGCACAGTGGCCACGCATTACCTTTAGTTCAATGACGTCAGCATTCTTGGGAATAATTTTGCATCTGAAGTTGGTGGCATTTTCCGGACAGTTCCAAGACAGCGTCCAGGACTTGGGGTCGAAGGTCACGTTCAGCCCGAGGGCCGGGTCCCGACCTGCCAAGCACAGTCACGGGGTTCACAGAGGACTCTGTCCCAATCTCCTAAGGGCCAGCGGGATGGACGCTGAGGACCACGACGCCTCCGACCGGGCCCTGCGACCCAGGACCTGGCTGTCCACTTGAGGACAGGACGCTCTCAGGAGTCCATCCTCCACCTACAGTGAGCTCTGGCTCCATCACAGGGTGGACTGTGGGGCATGATATGGGACCAGCAAGGCCAGAATGCTCAAATGCCATGGCCGCTCCCACTGACCACGCAGCCCCTCTGCCCCAGTGCAAGGTGTGGGGGCCTAACTCGGGCCCTCGCAAGCTGGGGACCACTTGTGGGTGCCAAGAGGCTCAGCAGGCCCACATCCCCATCCCTGCCCATCCCGGCCATCCCTGGGTGGCATGGGCAGCTTTTGTTCATCTGATGCTTACTACACTGCCTGGCATTCCCTGGACCCTTAATGCTCAAGGGTCACTGGGATCATGGACCCACCAGGGCCTGTGACAGTGGGTGTTGGTCACACTTCCATCCGTGAGGGAAAATATTTGGTGTCCACAGTTTCTATGGTCAGCTGCTCCAAAGCAGGAGCATCATGGTGGACGGTGTGGGGAGGAGAGACGCTCCCATCATGGTGGCCGGGAAGCAGGGAGAGAAGGGAGGAGCCGGGGACCAGAACACAGCTTAAAGAGGGAGCTCAGTGTGGCTCAGGGGTGCAGAGGGTGCAGTCCATGGCCGGCTGCTCCAGGGCGGGAGCATCATGGTGGACGGTGTGGGGAGGAGAGACGCTCCCATCATGGTGGCCGGGAAGCAGGGAGAGAAGGGAGGAGCCGGGGACCAGAACACAGCTTAAAGAGGGAGCTCAGTGTGGCTCAGGGGTGCAGAGGGTGCAGTCCATGGCCGGCTGCTCCAAGGCGGGAGCATCATGCTGGATGGTGTGGGGAGGAGAGACGCTCCCATCATGGTGGCCGGGAAGCAGGGAGAGAAGGGAGGAGCCGGGGACCAGAACACAGCTTAAAGAGGGGAGCTCAGTGTGGCTCAGGGGTGCAGAGGGTGCAGTCCATGGCTGGCTGCTCCAAGGCGGGAGCATCATGGTGGACGGTGTGGGAGGAGAGACGCTCCCATCATGGTTGCCGGGAAGCAGGAGAGAAGGGAGGAGCCGGGGACCAGAACACAGCTTAAAGAGGGAGCTCGGTGTGGCTCAGGGGTGCAGAGGGTGCAGTCCATGGTCGGCTGCTCCAGGAGGAGCATCATGGTGGACGGTGTGGGGAGGAGAGACGCTCCCATCATGGTGGCCGGGAAGCAGGGAGAGAAGGGAGGAGCCGGGGACCAGAACACAGCTTAAAGAGGGAGCTCAGTGTGGCTCAGGGGTGCAGAGGGTGCAGTCCATGCCCGGCCGCTCCAAGGCGGGAGCATCATGGCGGACGGTGTGGGGAGGAAAGATGCTCCCGTCATGGTGGCCGGGAAGCACCAGGAGTGGGGAGACAGATCCAGACAGGAAGGGACTGGGGGTCAAACAGAGTCCCCAAGATGTACCCTCAGAGGCACCCTGCCTGCCTGCTCAGATCCCTGGGGTGCTGGAATCCCACAAACTCATCCAAGGCTGCATGCATGCAGGGACTCCACAGGCCCCTGGCCAGTCCCCTCCCAAAGGCCACTGGCTCAGAACACAGGATAGCTAGGGACATTTTAGATTCAGGCCATAATGCTGAGTCCACCAACGGTGCAGATGCTGGACAGGAGGAGCAGCGGGCAGAGTGCACTGGAGAACCCAGAGACGGGAGGGGACAGAAGCCACCCGGGCCCAGAGTCCAGAAGCCCGGCCACCGCGGTCTTACCCAGCTGCTCCCCGGTGAGGAGCACGGCCGGCCCCAGACACAGCAGCAGCAGCAGCAGCACAGCACGAGGGATGCACCCGGGGCTCCCGCAGGGCCGGGTCCTGGGAACAGAAGGGCGGGGTGAGAGGGCGCTCGCATGGTGGTGCTGGGCTGCAGAGACGGAAGCAACCAGGCTGTGGACAGCAGGAGCTCAGCCCCGGTCCACTGTGTCAGGATGGTTTGCACAGCCACAGTGTCCACCCGAGCACATCTGGGGGGACGAGGGCGGCTCAGGGACATCTTCCGTCTCTACACGGGGATGGGGCAGGGACACCTCGGGTTCTGCAGGGCCTGGAGGGCCGTGCAGCTTTTTCATTCTTCTTGCAAACAAGACACACAGCACGGGGGTGAACCCGCAAGGAGCCGGGCGTGGTGGTGCACACCCGCCATGCCGGTGCTGGGGAGGCCGAGGCAGGAGGATCCTGCATGGTAGCTCGGGCCTGGACACTCAGCGAATTCCTGAGGCCCTGTCCTGGAGGGATAGGTGGAGAGGTGGCTCGGGAGGGCCCCGCCCAGTGCTGGAGTCCTCAGGGACACCAGGACAGCCTGTGCCCTGGGTGATGCTGTCAGAGAGAGCGGGCAGCCAGGCACAGACCCGGGAAGGGCGGGGAACGCTGGGTCACAGGGCTCTGATCAGAGGCCGCTAGGGACCGTGCGGCCCAGGGCAGCTCCAGGGGTGAAATCAGGCTGCAGACCACAAAGAGAAGCATCCTGTGGGCCAGGCTGCCAGCCCGGCCTCCAGGTCTGCAGCAGGAGCAGCCCGTCCAGCACTGGCCGCCAGGGTCAGTTTGTCATCACTTCCGAGGTGCAGAGCTGGGCCGGGGGTGGGAGCTGTCCCAGAAGCCGGGCAGCGACGTGGGTGAAATCTGTCACCAGGGCACAGTTCCTCAGTCCTCTTCCTCTTCTCGGACGCCTTGTTAGTGCACGACATGACAGGGCAAAACCACAGCTTCCTCATTTTTTAAAAATTCTTTTTCCAGTGCTGGGGTTGGAGCCAGCACCGAGGACTTCCGGCTGAGCTACACCTCCAGACTTTTCAAAAAACGGAGACGGGTCTCCCTCGCTAGTCCCCGAGCTGCCCAGGCCGGGCTCCAGCCTGCAACCGTCCTGCCTCAGCCTCCCAGCCTGGCGCTGGGATCACGGCTCCTGCGGTGCCACCCACCCCAACCCTGCGCTTCTTGACATACTGAAAACTCCACCCACGCTGGGTGACACCCAGGGCGGGCGCCTGGACAGTGTCCCCGAGAATGGGCAGCAGGCGGGGCTCGAGGTGCGGGCCGAGCTCCCCCCACAGGGAAACTGAGGCACCGTGGCTCCCGGGAAATTGCCAGTGCCCTCCCGGCCACCCACCCACCCCACCCTGCTGTGCTCGGCCCGGGGACGCCTGCCCCGCTCCCCGGTCCTTTCCTGCAGCCCAGCGCTGAGTCAGCCCTGCACATCCCCAAGCAACGGGGCCCGGAAACCCGAGCCCAGGACGCACAGCGCCTCACCGCGCATGCGTGCACCGAGGCTCCGAGGCACGCACGCTCTAGGCCGAGCTGCGGTGCAGCTGGGGTGCAGCCCGTGGGGTGCAGCCCGTGGGGTGCAGCCAGGGCCGGAGGCCTCGGGAGCATCTCAGAGCTCCCGGGCTGCAGCCGGCCCCGTCGCCCACCGTGCACAAGCTCTCAGCGCGTCCAGCTCGGGGCATCGAGCAGGCTCCAGGCTGCAGCAGCAGCGGCTGTGACGGTTCCAGAACATTCTCTCACACCTCCCCTCCCCCACCCTCGGCCTCCATGGCGAGCCCGGCGCGCTGTTTCCCGCCAGTGGCCACTGACTCGCTGGGCCTCGGCCCCCTGCTGCTGTGGGCTGATGCGGCTTCTCCCCTAACAGTGGACAAGCTGGACAGTTTCCCTGCGGTGCTTCCAGAGGCGCTGGGATGTCTCCTCCCGTCATGGCGCTCGTCTCCGGGAACCCACGAGCGGCCATGTCTGGACCCGGGTTGGGTCTCCCAGGCTGGATCTGTTATCGCGAGACTGGACCCTCACCGCGAGATCAGGTGAATTATCGCGAGAGCAGAAGAGTTAGGAGTGATCGTCAGTGGATGTGTTGCCCGCGAGATTTTCATAGATAGCGCGAGGCCAGACTAGTTATCGCGAGATCACGTGGCTATAAAATGAGATCCCTGCGGGAGGCGCTGTTATTTCTGCCTGGGGTTCTCTAGCTGCCTGAGTGGTGTATTTGAGGTGTTATGGTGCAGAGGGGCCGGGGCTGTAGGGTCGGCCCAGGTTGTGCTCTTCCATCCGCAAAACCATAGTCCAGCCTAAAATCTTTCTCAGGCCTCCACCCCGTTTTTTTGAGGGACAGGATGGTTAATGTTGATCAAACCCTGGGCCTCTGCCCTGAGCACACCCCAGCCCTGAATTTTAGTTTACTTTAGTTTAGTTTAGTTTAGTTTAGTTTTGGCTTTTGAGGCTGGGCGTTTCATCCGCTCAGGTCACCCAGTTCATAGACTGGCCTGGAGCTTGGGACTGTCCTGCCTCAGCCTCCCAGAAAGCTGGGCCCCCAGGTGCCCGCCGACACCCGCGCCCCATTCTGGCCAACAGAGAAACTGGGAATCAGGCCCTCAGCTCTCCCTTCCTCTTTCTTCTCCCCCACAGACCTCACCTGGGTGGCGCCCCAAGCAGCCCACCGAGGCGTGCGATGTGGGGGGCCGGCCGGCCTGCAGAGCTCGGTGCACAGCCCTGCTGTGGGGTCCACTCCTCCCTCGGGGTCCCCGACACCCTCCCCTCTGGTCTCCCAGGCTCAGGTGCAGCCTGGCTGAGCTGCAGGGCCCTGAGGCACAGACCCCTCCGGCAGGAGGTCGGCTGCTCACCCTGAGGTGTCGGCATCGGGCTCCCCGCTGCCGCTGGCCGCTGCCCTCGGCGTGGTCTCCAGCATGGGCGGCCTCTGCAGGACGCGGCCCCGGGGCCCGGCAGCCCGGAGGAGCTCACGGGCTCTGTGCAGGGCTCGAGGGCTCCAGCCCTTCCCTTTTCTCCCGGGCCTGCAGCTTCCTCTTGGGAAATGCAGCCTCCGCAGCACTGTCATTGGCCCCCGCTGGCCCTCGGTGGCCCCCACTGGCCCCAGGCCTCGTCACCGCACGCGGGGCAGAGACAGACACGGCCCGGCCCACTGCAGAGCTTGTTTCCTGAGAGTGGATTTCACAAGGATGGGCACCGGGCCCGGGAGAAGCTGGCAGCCTTGGCAGACTCAGGACGGGTCTGCGGTCGTCTCCGTGGCCCAGGACCTCGTGTGCTGTGGATACTGGGCCAAGTGTCAGTGCTGGCTTACGGCCCGTCACCAGGCCTGTTGGTGCTCATCTGTCATCCCAGAACTGGAGAGGCTGACGCAGGAGGATCGCTGTGAGTTCAAAGCCAGTCTGCGCTACAAAGTGAGCTCGAGGCCAACTTCAACTGCATAGCGTCTCAGAAACACAAAAAATAAAAAATTAAATTTTTAAAACAGATTAGGGCTGAGACACAGATGGGTCCCTGGGCCCGCTGTGTGACAGAGCGGCTGCTGTTGCACCGTCCCCTCACTTATAATCTCTGAAGGCCAACCGTAAACAGCAACTGATGACCTGTGTGTGATTGTGCAAACACAAACATGTCTCAGGACAGCCCGCTCCACACACCTAGCCCCGGTGACAGTGGTAAGGGCTCAGCCAATGCCTGCCAATAAAGAATGAGACAGACAGGATGCGGGGCCCACGCCTGTCATCCCAGCGCTGAGAGGCTGAGGCAGGAGGGTCTCGGGTTCCAGCCCGGCTGGGAGATGCTCAGCAGCATCCTGAGGTCTTGTCTCAGAGTGAACAGGCCTGGGGATGGAGCTCGGTGGAGGGCCTGAATTCCTCAGGGACGGAAGAAGAGGAGGAGAAGATGATGTGAGGTGGGGTTCCAGTGGGGAGTGGGTGATTTCAGGGGTCGGCGGGGCCTCCCCACCCCCCACGGCCCTGTTTCTGGGTGAAATCTGTGCCCCAAGGTTGGGAATTGGGAGCAGGGCTTGACCTGGTCCCCACCTTGCTCAGCATGAATTTCCCTTACAGGAGCTCACGGGCTTCGCCAGCTGGGATCAGAAACCCGGTGACGGCCTCTGCCGAGCGCCATCCCGCAGAAAGGCAGCTGTAACACCAGACGCCGGGTCCCCGTCCACCTCGGTCCCCGGAGCTGGCTCTGTGCGACCCCCGGCTCCTCCCCAAGATCACAGTGACCGGGAAAGGTCAGGGTTTGGGGTCCATTCGGGACACGGAGGTGGCCAGGACGGCGCAGCTAAAGTCCCGGAGGACAGAGCACCCCGAGCTGTGGGAGAGCGGCCGGATCTGGGGGAGCCGGGCAGGGCCGGGGGGACTCGGGGGTCCCTGGCCGCCTCCATCAGAATCTGTGTCAGGAGTCTGTGGGCCAGCGCGCTCTGCAGCCCGACCCCGAGCCCTGGAGGAGCAGTGGCCGCCTGACGGCAGCTCCCGTCCCCCCCATGTCCTGTCCTCTCTGCACTGGGCCGCTCTGCCCCTTCCCCTCAGCGCTGGTTTCTTTTCCTCTTTGTTGGTGCTTGGGCCCCTCCCGCGGAGGAGGAGCAGCCCTGCGGCCTGTGCGTCTCCTTCCTCCGCTCAGTGTGGTCTCAGGTTGCACCCATTCTCCTCCCGGGGACTCCCGCCTGCCCTTCTTCATGGCCGCGTAGTACTCCACATGTGGGGCCACCACCATTGTTCAGGCCGTGCTCACAGAGGCAGCTATGTCACCTGCCCGTTTGTGCTGTGTAGACGCGAGCACTTTGACTCAGACTCTCACCCTGTAGCCCGGGCCGCCCACAGACTTGTGCAATCCTCCTGCCTCAGCCTCCGGGGTGTTTCCCGGTCAGCCTGACTCACGGGCTGGGCACCGTGTGGGTGTGGGCAGGGCGGGGCCGGGTGCCGGTGGGCGGGCAGCGGTGAGGGCCGGGAAGGCGCAGGCTGGCGTCTGACTCCTGGCGGTGCAGGTTGGCTGTTTAGTTGCATGTTGGGGACCCTCGGGGTCCACGTGGGGTCAACACGGGCAGGGTTCCCTTCCCTGGGCTTGGTGGGGCTTCCTGAGCCGGCCCTGAGCCCCCCAGTGGTGCTGGTGACCCCACATGCTCCTGGTGGGCCTGGTGGCCCAGACCTGT